TAATTCATAGGATCTCCTCCAGTACTATTTTTCAAGATAGGTATAATGTTTGTTTCCCTGCAGTCTTCTGGTATAAGCTGCTGGTTTTTAGGATATTTCATATTTTTGGTAGTACCTCAGAAGATAATTCCACTTTCCTGGATTAATACATTCTGGTCCTGGTGACTCGCTGCTCTGTAATTTTTGTTTCAGAACCTCCTCTTTTGATAACTTAATATTTATTACTTGAAAAGAATAGGTAACTCCCCAACATACAAAACTACTCAAGATAGTTAAGTCCCAGGCAGACTGCGAAGAAGTACGAAAGGATCTCTCAAAATTAGGTGACTGGGCAACAAAATGGCAGATGAAATTCAATGTTGATAAATGCAAAGTAATGCACATTGGAAAACATAATCCCAACTATACATATAAAATAATGGGGTCTGAATTAGCTGTTACCACTCAAGAAAGAGGTTTTGGATTGTGGATAGTTCTCTGAAAACATCCACTCAATGTGCAGCAGCCGTCAAAAAAGCGAACAGAATGTTGGGCATCGTTAAGAAAGGGATAGAGAATAAGACAGAAATTATCATATTGCCTCTATATAAATCCATGGTATGCCCACATCTTGAATACGGTGTGCAGATGTGGTTGCCCCATCTCAAAAAAGATATATTGGAATTGGAAAAGGTTCAGAAAAGGGCAACAAAAATTATTAGGGGTATAGAACGGCTTCCATATGAGGAGAAATTAATAAGATTGGGACTTTTCAGCTTGGAAAAGATATGACTAAGGGGGGATATGATTGAGGTCTATAAAATCGTGACTGGTGTAGAGAAAGTAAATAAGGAAGTGTTATTTACTCCTTCTCATAACACGAGAACTAGGGGTCACCAAATGAAATTAATAGCCAGCAGGTTTAAAATAAACAAAAGGAAGTATTTCTTCACACAATGCACAGTCAACCTGTGGAACTCTTTGCCAGAGGAAGTTGTGAAGGCGAAGACTATAACAGGGTTCAAAAAAGAACTAGATAAATTCATGGAGGATAGGTCCATCAATGGCTATTAGCCAGGATGGGCAGGGATGGTGTCCCTAGCCTCTGTTTGCTAGAGGCTGGGAATGAGAGACAGGGAAAGGATCACTTGATTCCCTGTTCTGTTCATTCCCTCTGGGGCACCCAGCATCGGCCACTGTCGGAAGACAGGATACTGGGCTAGATGGACCTTTGGTCTGACCCAGTATTGCCGTTCTTATGTTCTTAACGTCATCTGTGGTGAAGACTGATGCAAAATAAATCCTTTAGCTTGTCTGCAATATTCCTAACTCCTTAATTGCTTTCTTTACCTCTGGTGGTCAACAAGACTTCCTGCTTCTAATACACTTCAAGAATTTCTTGTTCTTATGTCTCTGGGTGTTGTGCTCTTCAAATTCCCTATTATTCCTCTGACTTTCCATTTTAGCTGTTATAGTTTACGTTCTCTTTTTCCATTGCTTCACTTGGGCTGGATATCCACCTTTAGAAGGTAACCTGTTTGGCTCAGATAACCTCTCCAACCTTACCAATTAAGCATGTTGTTTATTCTTCTCTTGCCTCCTTTTCAGTGAGAGATCCACATGCTTCTTGTGGTTATGGTTGTAGAATTTGTTTACATGCTCAAACCGTGGTTTTTTAATTCCTTCATTTTGGCTTAAAAAAGAACCACAGCTAGTCAATAGGATCATACATTCCATCTTCCTAAAGTTTTACGATCCCTTCCCTGAGGATGTTGATTTTACTAATAGTTAAATAATATAATTGCCACTTCAAGTAATCTGCGGTCCGGTGTGTTGCTTAGGCCTAATGGAAGAATAGCCTCTCCTCTTTTGGTGTAAAACTAACTGTTCCAAGAAGCAATCATTTGTAATGTTGATCAGTTGCTTCTTTAATTCTTGTTCCAGTGTGACAGATGTGACACATATGCAGAACTGAAGTCATCCGTTATCGCTGCATTGTTGGAGATGGTTGCCTCTCTGGTCTCCTACAACAGTATGCTCTCCCTTTTCCTCATCAGGAGGCCACTAGTATATGTGAATTGTTAGGACTTGGGGTTGGTAGGTCCTGTCAGTTCAAATCATTTCTTTTTCATTTCTATTAAATCTGCTAGGTGCTACTCCCCACCTTTGACCTGACCTGACCTGACCTGTCCTTCCTATATAGATTAGGGTTCCACTGGCTGGCCTTAATCATTCTCTGCCGTTCAAACCTCTTCCGTGGAGGTTGGCAAAATATGCTGCTTACGGTTTTCAGATGAAGTAGTAACTGAGGCCCAAAAAGGTTAAGACCAACACTTTCAAAAGAGGCCACTAATTGGGGGTCCTTCACTATTTACGTAGCCAATTGTAACAGCTTGGGCCTGATTTTTTCAGAGTTACTGAACAATCGTAGTTCTCATTGACTTCAGCTGGAGTTGTGGGTACTTGGCACTTCCAGAAATCAGGTCCCTGGTAGACACCGTGGGTACATCTACACTGATATGGGCTTGCAGGGCAGGTGCTACAAGGCTCTTTTAGCAGTGTAGATGGTCCCGCTTGGGCTAGAGACCAGGCTCTGAAACCCGGGAAGGGGAGACCGTCTCAGAGCCCAGGTTCCCACTTGAGCGGCAATGAATAAACATCTATTTTTAGCCTCAGAGTGTGAGCCACACAAGGCCAAGTCTGCTGCTCAGGCTCTGAGACTTGTTGCCGTGGGGTTTATTTTGCAGTGCAGATGTATCCTTGAGACCGAATGTCAGCAGCCTTGTGGCCTGTGGTTTGCACAAGGTCACACAAAGTTTATGGCAGATCTGAGAACAGAACCAAGATCACTGCATTAATAGACCCATAGCTGATCCACCAGATGACATTGCTTGAGCAAAAGCACTTCACGTGTGGGTGGTTGGATATGCTGTCTATAAAGTGGGGCTATTTGTGTCTGTTCGTCAACTGCTTTGAGATCTACAAGTGGGAGAGCTAAGCGTGAAGGGCATGGGGCTGTTCTGTAATAACTTCTCAATACTACAAATGAGCTGAAAGAACAAGGAGTACTTGTGGCACCTTAGAGACTAACAAATTTATTTGGGCATAGGCTTTCGTGGGTAAAACCCACTTCATCAGATGCAGGGAGAATCATAGAATATCAGGGTTAGAAGGGACCTCAGGAGGTCATCTAGTCCAACCCCCTGCTCAAAGCAGGTCTAATCCCCAGACAGATTTTTACCCCAGTACCCTAAGTGGCCCCCTCAAGGATTGAACTCATAACCCTAGGTTTAGTCGGGCAATGCTCAAACCACTGAGCTATCTGTCCCCCCTACACTCTCCTGATTGCAGTGGAGTGGAAAATACAGTAGGCAGAAATACACCTCTACCTCAATATAACACTGTCCTCGGGAGCCAAAAAATCGTACCGCATTATATTGAACTTGCTTTGATCCACCGGAGTGCGCAGCCCCGCCCCCCCGGAGCACTGTTTTACCGCGTTATATCCGAATTCATGTTATATCGGGTGGTGTTATATTGAGGTAGCGGTGTATATACACAATACAAGAAAAGATGGGAGTTGCCTTACCAAGTGGGGGGTCCGTTCTAACACCGCTACCACTCTGAAACCTGTCACAGATGAGCTGGTTAGTGGGATAGTTACTGTAGGACTATATTGAGTGATTGGATTGTTCACTGTATGCTTGAGTGGACTTAATTTAATAGTGGAGCAGGGCTGTTAGGAAACTAGCAGGAAGGCAACCTCCTGGTAAGCATTTCCTAACTAACCTCCTGGTAAGTATTTCCTAGCTAACCTCCTGGTAAGCATTTCCTAGCTAATCTCCTGGTAAGTATTTCCTAGCTAACCTCCTGGTAAGCATTTCCTAACTAACCTCCTGGTAAGCATTTCCTAGCTAACCTCCTGGTAAGCATTTCAAGGGAGCTAAAAAAATGATGCTTGTGCTATTAAGCTGTGAAGACGTTATTTCCAAGCACCAGTAAAGTTAAGAGTTTTTGGCCAAGGCTCGGGACTAGCATGTCAGAAGGACACTAAACAGTTAGTCATGCTCTAGAGCAGGGGTCGGCAACCTTTCAGAAGTGCTGTGCCGAGTCTTCATTTATTCACTCTGATTTAAGGTTTCGAATGCCAGTAATACATGTTAACGTTTTTAGAAGGTCTCTTTCGATAAGTCTAGAATATAGAACTAAACGATTGTTGTATGTAAAGTAAATAAGTAAATAACATTTTTTAAATGTTTAGGAAGCTTCATTTCAAATTAAATTAAAATGTACGGCCCCCTGGACCGGTGGCCAGGAACCAGGCAGTGTGAGTGCCGCTGAAAATCAGCTCGTGTGCCGCCTTCGGCACCTGTGCCATAGGTTGCCTACCCCTGCTCTAGAGTGAGGGGGATGGCAGGTACCGCCCATCGTGATGATTTTTGTCTATTGGCTGCAACAAAATTCCATTTGCGATTGAATTTGTTTTCTTTCAAATGCAGGATGAACCTGAGCCATTTGGAAATTGTTCCTGAAAAGATGTAGGGAGGGAGCGGGAGACCCGTTATAGTCACTAGTCCACTGGTATTAGGCACTCACTGGGGATGTGGGAGACCCAGGTTCAAGTCCTTGCTCTGAATAAGACTTGAACCTGGGTCTCCCTCGTCCCAGGTGAGTGCCCTAACCTCAGGGGGCTATTGGCTATTCTAGAAGCTTGCTTTCTCTCTGGTTTTGACCAGAAATTCCATCCTGGACCTGAGAAACCTTCCAAAAGAATCGGCATTTTCTGACCAAAAACCCCCAAAATTGTTGAAAAATCTGTTATTCCTTTATCAGATAACATACAAAAATATATACAATGTCTTTGTGTATCAAAAGCAGTCAACTGTTTGATTCTTTTATCAGGTATTCCTTTAACGGGGCGTAGCGCGAGGAAATCTGTGTATAGCTATGGAGGCTGCACTTGAAACTGTAGGCGGTAGCTTGGGGAAAGACTGACTCTCTTTTATGTGTGTGTGTGGCAGGCAACTGGGATCATTCATGCCGTCCTGGAGAAGTACGGCTCTTATGAGAGCTTTGAAGTGGCCACTGGTGGAAGACTGCTGAGCAAGTGCCAGATCTGGTCTATTATCCGGAAGTACATGCAGAAGGAGGGCTGTGTGGGAGAGGTAATAATTGTCTTCATTTTGTTTATGAACACCTTCACCACAACTACTGCTAGCACAGATCAGTAGGGATAATAGAGAAAAGAAGAGTTGGACTCAAAAGTACGATGTATACTGTGATGGGTTGGATCACAGAAACCCCATTGGAAGCTGCCAACTGATGTGCCAAGACTACTTCTGCCCCTGCTTTCCCTGCCAAGCTCAGGACCCCAGCATCCTGTCTTGCTGAGCCAGACACGCCCGTCTGCTCCAACACAGACCCAGGGTCTGAATTACTTGCCCCAAAGCTGCAGACTTAACTGAAAGCAGCTAAAAGAAGTGTTCTTGTCTTTAACACTCAGATGCCCAACACCCAATGGGGTCTAAACCCAAATAAATGCATTTTTCCCTATAAAGCTTATACAGGGTAAACTCATCAATTGTTCGCCCTCTATAACATTGATAGAGAGATATGCACAGCTGTTTGCCCCACCCCCAGGTATTAATACATACTCTGGGTGAATTAATAAGTAAAAGTGATTTTATTAGATACAGAAAGTAGGATTTAAGTGGTTCCAAGTAGTAACAGACAGAACAAAGTGAATTACTAAGTAAAATAAAATAAAACACGCAAATCTAAGCCTAATACAGTAATAAAATTGAGTACAGATAATATCTCACCCTGGAAGATGTTTTAATAAGTTTCTTTCACATACTGGACGCCTTCCTAGTCTGGGCACAATCCTTTCCCCTGGTACAGCCCTTGTTCCAGCTCAAGTGGTAGCTAGGGGATTCCTCATGATGGCTCTCCCTCTTTGTTCTGTTCCACCCCTTTATGTATCTTTTGCATAAGGCGAGAATCCTTTGTCCCTCTGGGTTCCTACTCCCCCCTTCTCAATGGAAACGCACCAGGTTAAAGATGGATTTCAGTTCAGGTGACATGATCACATGTCACTGTAAGAGTTCATTACCCACTTGCCAGCACACAGGTATACAGGAAGACTTACAGGTAAAACAGAGCCATCTGCAGTCAATTGTCCTGGTTAATGGGAGTCATCAAGATTCCAAACCACCATTAATGGCCCACACTTTGCATAATTACAATAGGCCCTCAGAGTTCTATTTCATGTTTCTAGTTTCAAATACAAGAGTGGTACATTTATACAAATAGGATGATCACACTCAGTAGATTATAAGCTTTGTAGTGATACCTTACAAGAGACCTTTTGCATGAAGCATATTCCAGTTACATTAGCATATTTTCATAAAATCATAGAATCATAAAATCATAGAATATCAGGGTTGGAAGGGACCTCAGGAGGTCATCTAGTCCCACCTCCTGCTCAAAGCAGGACCAATCCCCATCTAAATCATCCCAGCCAGGGCTTTGTCAAGCCGGGCCTTAAAAACCTCCAAGGAAGGAGACTCCACCACCTCCCTAGGTAACGCATTCCAGTGCTTCACCACCCTCCTAGTGAAATAGTGTTTCCTAATATCCAACCTGGACCTCCCCCACTGCAACTTGAGACCATTGCTCCTTGTTCTGTCAAATAGAGTGCAATGTCACATATACTGACAAAGCCAAAATTAAACATAGCTATTGATTGAGAGGAAGCAATTTGGGAACCCATGATTCTTAGAACCCAGCAGTGAGAGTGGGTAAGTAAGTATGAGCTTGCAACACGAAGTTGTTGCAAACAAACCTGATGTAATTTTGTGCTGCAGGAGAGTCACCTAGAGTAGCAGGGCTTTAATAGCACTTCTCTATATGGCTCTGGTGTCTGCAGCTGGAAATATTGTTTTCACTTCTGAGCACTTCGGAACCAGGAAGATGTTAACAAACTGTAGCACAAACAGTTCTAGGAATGTGGCACAGGAAAGACTCAAGGCATTTTGGCGTAAAAGTGATATCCAGAGTGACTACATAAATCAGACATGTTGATTCCAAAACACAGTGTTACCAAGCTGAGTTTTCACCCTTTGTGGACTAAATCCAGTTCTCGTGGAAACAAGCACTCTTGTCTTGACTACAGTGGAGTTACACCAGAGCACCACTGAGCCCAGTGGCAGCTGTAAAACATGTGCAAAAAAAATACACATTTATCTTAGTTTATACAGCTGCTCCTCTTATTAAATGTGGGAGCCAAAGATCTAACCAAATGTAGCCAATACAGGCCCATCTTGAGCACTAGTCATGGCTCGCAGGGTGCAGAAAGCTGCCCTAAAAGGACTGCTGAGGATTCAGCTAGCTCAGCTCTGCGCCACTCCTTCCTGGCCCCATACCGTAGGGGGCACAGATTCACAGATTTTTAAGGACAGAAAGGACCACTGTGGTCATCTCGTCTGATCTGTATAACACAGGCCAGAGAAGTTCCCTGAATTAATTCCTGTTTGATTCCAGGAATTTAGATTTTCTAAAATTAATTCCTGGAATCAAACATCCAATATTAATTTAAACATGTCTAGTGACAGAGAATCCACCACAGCCCATAGTAAGTTGTTCCAATGCTTAATTACTCTCGCTGTTAAACATTTGAGCCTTGATTTCTAGTCTGGGTTTGTCTGGCTTCAGCTTCCAGCCACTGTTATAACTTTATCTGCTAGATTGAAGAACCTTCTATCAAATTTCAGTTCCCTATGTAGGCACTTGGACTGTAATCAAGTCACCCCTGGACCTCTGTTTGGTAAGCTAAATAGACTGAGCTCCTTGCCTATTGCTGTGAGGCATGGTTTCCAATTCTTTAATCATTCTTGTGGGTCTTCTGTGAACCCGCTCTAGTTTTTCAACATTCTTCTTGAATTAGGGACACCAGAACTGAACACAGTATTCCAGCAGCAGTCGCTCCAGTGCTAAATACAAAGGTAAAATAATCTCCTTTTTCCTTCTTGAGAGTCCCCGGTTTACACATCCACGGTTCACATTAGCCCTTTCGGCCACAGTGTCACACTGGGAACTCACGAGCAGGCATGCACCAGCAATCGCCATCAGGGTAAGAGCCCCTTTGGGGCCATTACAGAGCAGGACATATATATGAGCAGCCCTTACTGCCATAATTTGTGCCGGGGTCAGAATCTGCCCTCTGGAAGCCCTGGAATTGGTCATGTACCAAGACGGCATAAAGCTGCTTTTGTCTTTACCCCACTCCGAGTCCTGCACTGAGCACAGCTTGACTGGCCCATTGTAGCTGAGCGTGTATATTGTATCAGACATGCCATATACAAAACCTATGAGGAGCTGCTATCTTTAGGCACCAGGGCTCCCTCAGTGTGATATCTTATGGTCATGTGTTTCATCTGTGATGCTGTAATTAACATCAGTTAGTGGTCAGGCTAGCTAGGGCCTGAGGTCAGTGAGTCACTGTGCTGGAAGCTAGAGAAATGTCAGAGTGTGACAGCTGCAGCGCTGCATGAGACTGCTGGGGGGGGGGCAGTGAGCTGCAGCTCATCGTGAATGGATTGGAAATTAGAGAGAAAAGCAACTTCAGCATCAAGGGGCAGGGGCCTGAAAGCACTGCGGAAGGAAACTCATTTCAATACATACAAGTCTCAGCTGGGGTTTGTTCAGTGGGCTGATTGTTAACTTTAAGACGTGACGTTATGAATGTAATTCATGTTCCAATACGCAGAAGTGACACAACTCACCTAAAAAGATTTTACAGAGCTCTAAATGAAGTAACACCGCTGCATGTGCCCCCAGAGATAACATTGGCGAAGCTTTATCTCACTTCTGTGGGGAAATTCAAACAATTTGTAATATTTTATAAAGAATTTGCAGACCAACAGCAGCGTTTGATTGTGCGGACATCGGCATAGGCTGATTGAAGGGTGTAGCCAGCTGACAGGGTCTGGACGTGCTAGAATTCTTCCTGGTATGACAAGAGTGTTTGCTTCGTAGTTGATCAGGCAGTATGTAGCTTGGTGTTGAAGATTTGGGTATAAGAGGATTTTGGATTAGACATGACTCCCATTCCTCTGTTTGGCACTGGCCAACCATCAAGAATGTGATTGGGCAAGATAAGATTTACTCTCACTCTTTAAAAAGCAACAGAGAGTCCTGTGGCACCTTTAAGACTAACAGATGTCAAAACATCTGTTAGTCTTAAAGGTGCCACAGGACTCTTTGTTGCTTTTTACAGATCCAGACTAACACGGCTACCCCTCTGATACTCTCACTCCTTAGTGAATGCTGTACTTACCAGTAGCGTGACAGAGTAAGCCCTGGATTGCCTTGCCTTGCTTTTGACCACATGCCCGGGAACAAGCCCAAGGAGTGTGACATTTACACACACCCAAGGCTAGCAGGTCTAAAAGATGAACTGTCCTGCAGATTAATCTGTCCAATGTCTCTGTCACTGCAGTGACCGAGTTTTTCAGACATATAAGCACATCACAAACCAACTAGCTCACGCTGTCGGTGGTTTTAGGAGTTAAATTCCTGAAGGTAATGTATCATGTGTCTTTTGGATCCAATCCTTTCTCTTACTGCTTCTCAAGACAATATACTCCAAGCATAGGCGCCGACTCCGTGGGTGCTCCAGGGCTGGAGCACCCACGGGGAAAAATTGATGGGCGCTGAGCACCCACGGGCAGCTCCCTGCCCCGCCCCCCCGCCTCTGCCTCCTCCCCTGAGCATGCTGCCGGGACCTGCTTCTCCCCCCTCCCCAGTGCTTGCGCCACGAAACAGCTGTTTCGCGCGGCAAGCCTGGGAGGGAGGGGGGAGGAGGAGGAACGCGGCTTGCTTGGGGAAAGAGATGGGGCCGGGGCGGGGATTTGGGGAGGGGTCCAATAGGGGCAGGGAGGGGCGGAGTTGGGGTGGGGACTTTAGGGGCTGGGGTGGAGTTGGGGCGGGGCCGGGGGGGGGGGCGACAGGCATCCACCAGCGCCAACAAAAGTTGGTGCTTGTGACTCCAAGCTCATTTCTCTGTTCTTGTTTGTCAGAGCAGTGTGTAAAGCCAGGACTCCTAGCACCACTGCATAGACTTCTGCTGTTTGAGCCAAAGAGGTAACGCTTTTACCTAGAAGGT